CTGAGACCGAGACCGAGGCTGAGGCTGAGACCGAGGCTGAGACTGAGGCTGAGACCGAGACTGAGACTGAGGCTGAGACTGAGGCTAAGGCTGAGACCGAGGCTGAGACTGAGACCGAGGCTGAGGCTGAGACCGAGGCTGAGACCGAGACCGAGGCTGAGGCTGAGACCGAGGCTGAGACCGAGGCTGAGACTGAGACTGAGACTGAGGCTGAGACTGAGGCTAAGGCTGAGACCGAGGCTGAGACTGAGACCGAGGCTGAGGCTGAGACCGAGGCTGAGGCTGAGACCGAGGCTGAGGCTGAGACCGAGGCTGAGACTGAGGCTGAGACTGAGGCTGAGGCTGAGGCCGAGGCTGAGGCTGAGACCGAGGCTGAGACTGAGACCGAGGCTGAGGCTGAGACCGAGACCGAGGCTGAGGCTGAGACTGAGGCTGAGACTGAGACTGAGACTGAGGCTGAGACTGAGGCTAAGGCTGAGACCGAGGCTGAGACTGAGACCGAGGCTGAGACCGAGACCGAGGCTGAGGCTGAGACCGAGGCTGAGGCTGAGACCGAGGCTGAGACTGAGACTGAGGCTGAGGCTGAGGCTGAGGCTGAGGCTGAGGCTGAGGCTGAGGCTGAGACTGAGGCTGAGACTGAGACTGAGGCTGAGGCTGAGACCGAGGCTGAGGCTGAGACTGAGGCTGAGACTGAGGCTGAGACTGAGGCTGAGACTGAGGCTGAGACTGAGGCTGAGACTGAGGCTGAGACTGAGGCTGAGGCTGAGGCTGAGGCCGAGGCTGAGGCTGAGACCGAGGCTGAGACTGAGGCTGAGACTGAGGCTGAGGCTGAGGCTGAGGCTGAGACCGAGGCTGAGACTGAGGCTGAGACTGAGGCTGAGACTGAGAGACTGAGGCTGAGGCTGAGGCTGAGGCTGAGACCGAGACCGAGACCGAGCTGATTCATGCCTTTTTTAACGGATATTTTCATGTGAATGACAGCGGCAGAAACCAACTTCTGTTGAAATAACTTCCTGTAGAAAGTGAAACTTAAGAATAGTTTAAATAATGTCTCGACCCAGAAAAGAACCAGAGTCTTTGGTCCATTTCCTGCATGTTCCTGATTCACTGTCGCTGCATGAACGACCATTGGCTCCTCACTCCTCACTCACGGTTCTGTTTCTGGGATCCGTGACATTACACAAAGTTAAAGATCTGTCAATGCTTCTGGAAATGTTTCTCCTCATGTTTAATCATGTTATTTATGATGTAAAGTAATAATAATAATGACATCAAGTCGAATGATTTTCTTTCTCTAATCTGGGATCCAGATGATTTAGTGAAAATACATTTGTTTCTAACTAAGTCTAAGCACAGATTCAGATTCCTCTGATGTGGTGACGTTCTGCTGACGTCATGCAAAGGGGCAGAGCTCCGACCCATACGGTGGGACTGAGTATTTGATACACTTTAGTTTTAGCTCAATATACTTTAAAGAAAATCTACAGCAGAAGAACCTTATTCTTTATTGTTTTGTCCTAAAAATCAGACTCTTTCTTTTGGCGTAAAAACGACTCGTCCTTAAACCTCACGCTGTGTTCAGTTTGAACCAAATAAAGTAAACTATAGTTTTTGACCCACAGTCACATGATGCATAACGACCCTGGAACACTCTGCAACAAGAGTCAGGCTTTTACCTTCAAAGATTGGGCTTGAAAATGTTTGAGAAAAGTTTTACCATGATGTCTGTAGACTCGTCCATTTTAATAAGGATAATACTTTATTGTTCCGTAGGAAAAGTTGCATTTGACTCATCCTGCCACTAGGGCGTCTGTCAGTGCAGCGCCTGGAGAAACCTACGCAGACACAGGGAGAACATGCAAACTCAGAAAGTCCCTGTTTCAAACGGGAATCAAGAGTGCTAACCACTCAGCCACCGTACCACCCAATAACGTGATCTTCTGGGGTTTTGGGTGTGCTGTGACACTAGAAGTCTTTTCTACAGTCTTCCCTGTGTTAAAGCACGGGTCCAAACAACACGCCAACCTTTCCCTCTGTCCTGGGGCCACAGAGAACATGGCTACAGAGTCCGTTAGCATTAGCTTCTCTCTCTGTCAGCTCTGATCGTCAGCCAACCACTGAGCCTCAGGCGGAAACTCTTTATTTCCATGGCTCAGTGTTTGGCTCAGAGGCACAAGGGCGGCCCCTGTCAGTCCAGTCCTGTCCAGTCCAGCCCAGTCCAGTCCAGTCCCTCTCGGACTAATGGGGATCAGAGCGATGGAGCGAGGGCCAATCTGAGAGCGCAAAGTGGACAAGATCTGACCTTTGACTCTTTCGATTTGGATCAAGACAGTTTCCCTGAGGACCGTTTGAGTTTTAAATCTGACAGAAAGTACACTGAGGCCCCTGGAGACACTGAGGCCCCTGGAGACACTGAGGTCCCTGGAGACACTGAGGCCCCTGGAGACACTGAGGTCCCTGGAGACACTGAGGCCCCTGGAGACACTGAGGTCCCTGGAGACACTGAGGTCCCTGGAGACACTGAGGTCCCTGGAGACACTGAGGTCCCTGGAGACACTGAGGTCCCTGGAGACATTTAGGTCCCAGGAGACACTGAAGGTGGATCAGTGCAGCGTGTGCAGGGATGCGGTCGCTGTATCGGACCATTGTGGTGAAGAAGGAGCAGCGTCTGTAGTCAGAGCTCTTGTTCCCTCCCTCACCTCTGGTCATGAGCTTTGGGTAATGACTGAAAGAACGAGATCGCGGATACAAGCATCGTAATGAGCATCCTCCGCAGAGTGGCTGCTCCCCTCGAGATAGAGGAGCTCAGAGTAGAGCCGCTGCCCCCTTTAGAGATAGAGGATCCCAGTCACACCCAGGACACAGAGGAACAATGTCTCTCTCTGGGAACGAAGTCTGGGCTTCTCGCGACTCGGCAAGGGATGAAGCGGAAGAAAAGAAATTGAGTATTAATAAACAAACTAATTAATGTCAGTGACGTGACTTTAGGTTTATTTATTTAGATATTCATCATTATTCTCGCCAAAGCAGCTTCTTTTGTGTTGGAGCCAAAATGGCCTTTTCTCCGTCAGCAGCAGCTCGACCTTTTCTTCAGAACAGACTGATGTCTCTGATGTCTCTGATGTCTCTGATGTCTCTGATGTCTCTGATGTCTCTGATGTCCCTTATGTCTCTGATGTCTCTGATGTCACTGATGTCTCTGATGTCACTGATGTCTCTGATGTCTCTGATGTCACTGATGTCTCTGATGTCTCTGATGTCTCTGATGTCACTGATGTCTCTGATGTCTCTGATGTCACTGATGTCTCTGATGTCACTGATGTCACTGATGTCACTGATGTCTCTGATGTCTCTGATGTCACTGATGTCACTGATGTCTCTGATGTCACTGATGTCTCTGATGTCTCTGATGTCACTGATGTCTCTGATGTCTCTGATGTCTCTGATGTCACTGATGTCTCTGATGTCTCTGATGTCACTGATGTCACTGATGTCTCTGATGTCTCTGATGTCACTGATGTCACTGATGTCTCTGATGTCACTGATGTCTCTGATGTCTCTGATGTCACTGATGTCTCTGATGTCTCTGATGTCTCTGATGTCACTGATGTCTCTGATGTCTCTGATGTCACTGATGTCTCTGATGTCTCTGATGTCACTGATGTCTCTGATGTCTCTGATGTCTCTGATGTCTCTGATGTCTCTGATGTCTCTGATGTCACTGATGTCACTGATGTCACTGATGTCGCTGATGTCTCTGATGTCACTGATGTTGCTGATGTCTCTGATGTCTCTGATGTCTCTGATGTCACTGATGTCTCTGATGTCACTGATGTCAGGCTGTTATGAAAACCTGGTTCAGATTAACTCGAGCGGCTCCAATGAGGCTTTGTTTAAAACTCAAACATGGAAAAGTGTAACAACTATATCTGAATTTAGTTTGTTCCTACTGTTTAGAACCACAACTGTACACACACACACACACACACACACGCACACGCACACACAGTTCCATTATTTTGGTTTTGAAAGTTACATACATGAGCCCTCAGTGCGCAGAATCAGAATAATTTTTATTGCCACGTAAGTAACAGAAGTCACAGACTTGGAAATTGCTTTGGCTCAGTGCAACAGTCAGAAAGAGATAATAAAAATAAGAATAAAAAACACTTCTAAAGAATAAATTTTAATTTAAAATAGAGTTACAGTTACTATTTACAATATACAAGTGCACATGGTGCACACAATGTAAGGTGACAGCAGTACAGTGAAGTAAAGTGACGTATGATGGGCAGTAAAGTGACTTTATAAAGGGCGGGGGGACAGGTTAAGAAGTGTTCAAGAGTCCAACAGCAGAGGGGAAGAAACTGTTCTTGTGGCGGGAGGTTCTAGTCCTGATGGACCGCAGCCTCCTGCCTGAGGGGAGTGGTTGGAATAGTCCATGTGCAGGTGAGAGGGGAGTGGTTGGAATAGTCCATGTGCAGGTGAGAGGGGAGTGGTTGGAATAGTCCATGTGCAGGTGAGAGGGGAGTGGTTGGAATAGTCCATGTGCAGGTGAGAGGGGAGTGGTTGGAATAGTCCATGTGCAGGTGAGAGGGGAGTGGTTGGAATAGTCCATGTGCAGGTGAGAGGGGAGTGGTTGGAATAGTCCATGTGCAGGTGAGAGGGGAGTGGTTGGAATAGTCCATGTGCAGGTGAGAGGGGAGTGGTTGGAATAGTCCATGTGCAGGTGAGAGGGGAGTGGTTGGAATAGTCCATGTGCAGGTGAGAGGGGAGTGGTTGGAACAGTCCATGTGCAGGTGAGAGGGGAGTGGTTGGAATAGTCCATGTGCAAATAAAGAAGGTTAAAAATACAGGAATTATACAAACTAAAAAAACGGTCTAGACTTTTGAATGGTAGAGTACACGCAACACGGCTCCCTTTAAACTCCTTGTTGAACTTGAACTCTAGATAAATCCTTCTGCTCTGCTCTCACATGGTGTTGTTGCGGTCGCTGCAGATGGTGTTCCTGTGTGGACTGTCCCAAAGTCTCCGTCTCTGGAGCAGCTGAGGAACGGCCTGACGCCCCTGACCTCCGCAGAGCCCTCCCCGGACTCCCGCAAACGCAGCCTCACCCTGTGCTCTGGAGCTGAGGTGAGGTCCACACTCAGCTGTCTGTGAAAGGCGCTATATCAATAAATATTATTTACTTACTTACAAACAAACTCTGCAATTCACAACATGAAAGGCTAGAAAAAGTAAATGATCAAAATCCAAGCTGTTTTTCTGCATATGTTTGTGTAACACTATTCTGTGACTTTTTATTAGGAATAAACCAAATACACATAAATACGGAGATTTAAGGAAACTCACAGATACAGACAATAACAGAAAAACTACACACAGGGGGAGACAGACAGGCCCCCTGTGATGTCACACGTACTCTATTGGTCAGTCTGGGGGGGGTAAGCCAAGACACAGTGGTTCACTCTGACGCTCACACTCACTCTCACACTCACTCTCACACTCACACTCACTCTCACACTCACTCTCACACTCACTCTCACTCTCACTCTCACACTCACTCTCACTCTCACACTCACTCTCACACTCACTCTCACACTCACTCTCACACTCACTCTCACTCTCACTCTCACTCTCACACTCACTCTCACACTCACTCTCACACTCACTCTCACTCTCACACTCACTCTCACTCACACTCACTCTCACTCTCACACTCACACTCACGCTCACACTCACTCTCACACTCACACTCACTCTCACACTCACTCTCACACTCACTCTCACACTCACTCTCACACTCACACTCACACTCACTCTCACACTCACACTCACACTCACTCTCACACTCACTCTCACACTCACTCTCACACTCACACTCACTCTCACACTCACTCTCACACTCACTCTCACACTCACTCTCACACTCACTCTCACACTCACTCTCACTCTCACTCTCACTCTCACACTCACTCTCACACTCACTCTCACACTCACTCTCACACTCACTCTCACTCTCACTCTCACACTCACACTCTCACACCACTCACCTCACCTCACTCTCACACTCACTCTCACACTCACTCTCACTCTCACTCTCACCTCACTCACTCACCTCACCTCACACTCACTCTCACACTCACTCTCACACTCACTCTCACACTCACTCTCACACTCACTCTCACACTCACCTCACACTCACACTCACACTCACACTCACACTCACTCACACTCACTCTCACACTCACACACTCACTCTCACACTCACTCTCACACCACCTCACTCTCACACTCACTCTCACACTCACACTCACTCTCACACTCACTCTCACACTCACACTCACCTCACACTCACACTCACTCTCACTCTCACACTCACTCACCTCACACTCACTCTCACACTCACACTCACACTCACTCACACACTCTCACACTCATCACACTCACTCTCACTCACACTCACTCTCACACTCACACTCACATCACTCTCACACTCCTCACACTCACCTCACTCACTCACACTCACTCTCACTCTCACTCACTCACCTCACACTCACTCTCACACTCACACTCACTCTCACTCTCACACTCACTCTCACACTCACTCTCACACTCACTCTCACACTCACTCTCACACTCACTCTCACACTCACACTCACACTCACACTCACTCTCACACTCACTCTCACTCTCACACTCACTCTCACACCCACTCTCACACTCACCTCACACTCACTCACTCTCACACTCACCTCACTCCATCACTCTCACACTCACTCTCACACTCACCTCACACTCACTCTCACACTCACTCTCACACTCACACTCACTCTCACACTCACTCTCACACTCACTCTCACACTCACTCTCACACTCACCTCACTCTCACTCTCACCTCACACTCACACTCACTCTCACCTCACACTCATCTCACACTCACTCTCACACTCACTCTCACACTCACTCTCACTCACTCTCACTCACTCTCACACTCACTCTCCTCACACTCACTCTCACACTCACTCTCACACCTCACTCTCACACTCACACTCACTCTCACACTCACTCTCACACTCACACTCACTCTCACTCTCACTCTCACTCTCACACTCACTCTCACACACTCACACTCACTCTCACACTCACTCTCACACTCACTCTCACACTCACACTCACTCTCACCTCACTCTCACACTCACTCACCTCACACTCACCTCACACCACTCACACTCACTCTCACACTCACTCTCACACTCACACTCACACTCACACTCACACTCACACTCACTCTCACACTCACTCTCACTCTCACACTCACTCTCCACTCACTCTCACACTCACACTCACTCTCACTCTCACACTCACACTCACACTCACTCTCACACTCACACTCACCTCACACTCACACTCACACTCACTCTCACCTCACACTCACTCTCACACTCACTCTCACACTCACTCACACTCACTCTCACACTCACACTCACACTCACTCACTCACCTCACACTCACACTCACTCTCACACACTCACACTCACCTCACACTCACACTCACCTCACACTCACTCACTCACACTCACTCTCACTCTCACACTCACCTCACTCACACTCACATCACACTCACACTCCACACTCACTCCACACTCACACTCACACTCACTCTCACACTCACTCTCACACTCACTCTCACACTCACACTCACACTCACACTCACTCTCACACTCACTCTCACTCTCACACTCACTCTCACTCTTACACTCACTCTCACTCTCACACTCACACTCACTCTCACACTCACTCTCACACTCACTCTCACACTCACACTCACTCTCACACTCACACTCACACTCACTCTCACACTCACTCTCACTCTCACACTCACTCTCACACTCACTCTCACACTCACTCTCACACTCACTCCACTCTCACACTCACACTCACTCTCACACTCACACTCACACTCACACTCACTCTCACTCACTCTCACACTCACTCTCACACTCACTCTCACACTCACTCACACTCACACTCACTCTCACACTCACTCTCACACTCACTCTCACTCACACTCACCTCACACTCACTCTCACACTCACTCTCACACTCACCTCACACTCACACTCACACTCACTCTCACACTCACCTCACACTCACACTCACACTCACACTCACTCTCACACTCACTCTCACACTCACGCTCACACTCACACTCACTCTCACACTCACTCTCACACTCACTCTCACACTCACTCTCACACTCACTCTCACCGCTCACACTCACACTCACACTCACACTCACACTCACACTCACACTCACTCTCACACTCACTCTCACACTCACTCTCACACTCACTCTCACTCTCACACTCACACTCACACTCACTCTCACACTCACTCTCACACTCACACTCACTCTCACACTCACTCTCACACTCACACTCACTCTCACACTCACTCACTCTCACACTCACTCTCACACTCACACTCACCTCACTCTCACACTCACTCTCACACTCACACTCACACTCACTCTCACACTCACTCTCACTCTCACACTCACTCTCACACTCACACTCACACTCACTCTCACACTCACACTCACACTCACTCTCACACTCACTCTCACACTCACTCTCTCACTCACACTCACTCTCACACTCACTCTCACACTCACTCTCACACTCACCACTCTCACACTCACTCACACTCACACTCACACTCACACTCACACTCACACTCACACTCACACTCACTCTCACTCACACTCACACTCACTCTCACACTCACTCTCACACTCACTCTCACACTCACACTCACTCACACCACTCACTCACACTCACTCTCACACTCACTCTCACACTCACTCTCACACTCACACTCACTCTCACACTCACTCTCACACTCACTCTCACACTCACTCTCTCACACTCACTCTCACACTCACCTCACTCTCACACTCACACTCACTCTCACACTCACTCTCACACTCTCACACTCTCACACTCACACTCTCACACTCACACTCACACTCACTCTCACACTCACTCTCACTCACACTCACACTCACACTCTCACTCACACTCACTCTCACACTCTCACTCACACTCACTCTCACACTCACTCTCACTCTCACACTCACTCTCACACTCACTCTCATACTCACACTCACTCTCACACTCTCACTCACACTCATTCTCACACTCTCACTCACACTCACTCTCACACTCTCACTCACACTCATTCTCACACTCACACTCACACTCACACTCACTCTCACACTCACTCTCACACTCACACTCACTCTCACACTCTCACTCACACTCATTCTCACACTCTCACTCACACTCACTCTCACACTCTCACTCACACTCATTCTCACACTCACTCTCACACTCACTCTCACACACTCACTCACTCTCACTCTCACACTCACTCTCACTCTCACACTCACACTCACTCTCTCACTCACTCTCACTCTCACACTCACTCTCACACTCACTCTCACTCTCACACTCACTCTCACTCTCACTCTCGCACTCACACTCACTCTCACACTCACTCTCACACTCACACTCACACTCACACTCACACTCACACTCACTCTCACACTCACTCTCACACTCACTCTCACTCTCACACTCACTCTCACTCTTACACTCACTCTCACATTCACACCCACTCTCACACTCACACTCACTCACTCTCACTCACACTCACACTCACTCACACACTCACTCTCACTCTCACTCTCACTCACTCTCACACTCACTCTCACACTCACTCTCACTCTCACTCTCACTCACTCTCACACTCACTCACACTCACACTCACTCTCACACACTCTCACACTCACACTCACACTCACACTCACTCTCACACTCACTCTCACACTCACTCTCACTCTCACACTCACTCTCACACTCACACTCACTCTCACTCTCACACACTCTCACACTCACTCTCACTCTCACTCTCACTCTCACTCTCTCTCACACTCACTCTCACACCCACTCTCACACTCACTCTCACACTCACACTCACACACTCACTCTCACACTCACACCCACTCTCACACTCGCTCTCACACTCACACTCACTCTCAAACTACCTCTCACTCTCACACTCACTCT